TGCCTCAAAAACCCAAAACAATTCAAAACAAAAAACCAAGAAAAGAAAAAGATACCACTTCCAAAAAGCCACCCTCCTCTCATCCCGCAGTAGATGTCACACAGTGGTTGATGCTTAAGGACCTGTGACCTAAGGGAACACTAATGTACTCGAGTGTGTAAGTCAGAAGTTTTTCAGAATCCCCAGAATCTACAACGTAGTTAGAATTGTAATTATTTCTACCTACACAGAAATGCATTCAGTCATTGATAAAAACATTTTACTAAATGTTGTGAATAACATGGTGAGGTGAGCAGAATCATGTTAACATTTGTGAGGGATTGTCCTTCTTAGAGTTAAACCAGAGGGTTACCAGACACTGAAGATGTCAGTTGACATTTATTTTTTGGCCATTAGTAACAAACAATGATGTGACACAGACAGCCCCTGACAAAAGTCCTACAGTAGCGACTTTATTTGTTTGGACAGAATCCTCACAGGTGCACAGGCTGAGTCAAAGGCCTTACGAAGCTCTTGGTATTTTACGGTCATCTTAGCAGGGTTGGTAGATTGTGTTCTCTAGACACCACTGGCTTCTTCTAGCAGCAATGATTCAGATTGCCCCTTTCTCTTAATTCTCATCAGTAATAAGTGCGTTGCTTTAAAGGTTTCTTAGTCTGACTTATATCTCATTTCAAACTATAATTTGAATTCTCTAGACTTACGAATGGATTTGAACATTAAAAATTGTCTATTTATTCTGTTTATTTGTTTATGTTTTATTAGTTGTGTGAGCACTTGCTAGTCTGGGTGGGTGCATGTGGGTGCACATATATGTGTAAACCCAAAACTGAATGTCTCTCGATCTTCAAGTTTTTTGAGGCATGGTCTCTCACTGAACCTTCAGTTCATTGATTTGGCTACGCTGGTTAGCCAATGGGCTTCAGGGATCCACCTGTTTCCTCTAGTGCTGGGCTTAGAGGAGTGCACTACCACCACTGGCTTTTTTACATGGGTTCTGGGGATCTGATTGCTGTGTGGCAGGCACATTACCTCCTGAGCAATCTCTCCAGTGCCTTTAAAGTTTTATTTCAATTCATCTTGTGCAAAACGTCTTTTTGTAGCATTGCCCAAGTGTTCTGTAGACATTATGCACACACATATGTGTGTATATGTGTATATATATATATGTATAATGTATATAGATATACATTAACACTAATCACTGTTCATGCAATGCAGAAACTTTAAGAACTTCATGTATATGTGTGCATATATATGTGTATATAATTAATTCCTCATATTTTGTGGACATTATCACTTCACAGCATAAATATTTGTCTTTCTTGTCACTACAATGTTGGTGATTGAACGCAGGACCTGATAAACACTAGATAAGTGCTCTACCCCTAAGCTACACCCCAGCCCAACACTTTACATTCATAGACTTTCCAAGAGTTCTATCTTCTGCTCTGTGTCTCCATTGATATTTCTCGTAGATCATATATAATATTTCTATAAAACTCTATTCTTTAATTACTAAATTAAAAAAAACAGAAAAATGTACCTACAAACTCATTTCACCATTTTCTAAAAAATGTGTAACTTAACAAACTTTCTTGCCTTCTCACTTCTTAAGTTTTTATAATTTTGGTTGAACTCTCTTCATGGAAGATCACTGTAAAATGTGAATCCAAACATGCCTTGCTTAAGCATCGATATAAATGTGTGTAATGTATGATTTGAGTGGAAGCCTGCTTCCTCAAGGCATGACTACCACCTATACCTCCACAGTTTGTATATATTATACCCTGTCCCGGATGGTTCATGTTTCAACTATGATCAAGATTTGACTTAAATGTCACACCTTCTTATAATCTCCCTAATCTTTCTAGATGAATTTTCTTCCATCTGTAGTGTCTTGTACAATTTTTATCATTGTATGAATTATACAAATATTTTAGCTGCCTGACAGGATCTCTGTAATGTTTCAAAATATTTATTTACCCTGTTTCTCCTTAGCCTTATAGATGAATCATTGTTCTTGATAAGCAGACAGACAGACAGACAGACACACATATCTTAGCAATAGTTGAGTCATATTTACAAGCATTAATCTATATATGAACATAGATACATATTTATAAAAACATACACATATGCATATTCATCTGGAAACATATATGTATATGCAATCTTTTCTCTCTAGTACAAGAGGAGTTGCCTGTCTCAAAAGGAGTGACTGTTTTGATTCACTCACCTCAATGGATTATAAATTATCATTTTCCTTCTCAGTGTGCCTCTGCATGGCTCTCTTTTTTGTTCCAGGAACAGGAAGATATTTAGACAGAGACGTTAGTCCAGCAGCATTAAAATTATTTGAGTCATTGGAATTTTCTGGAAGGAAGAAGGTAATTACTGGGAATATGTGTCAGTCCTGGCCTCAAGTATCTGAGAAGTTCTTT